TTTTAAAGGAAGAGACTTTTCTTAGTAAACCTGTTTTTCCTCATTTTTAAAGAATCGAGAAGATGTTTCTGGGGCCTGAACAATTTAGTAGAGTGGATATGCTCACAGCTTGCTAAGTACGTGAATTCGAATCTCAGCTGGAGGAGAAATTTTGCATGTCAAAAACACTTTTGTGGGGTTGAAATAATATTATAATATTACGTACCCATTACAAATAATGCTAAGTACATACTTCTGCAGCCCAATTAAGTTTTCTAATCAACCTTTGACTTTTGGCGTAATGAATTTAGTACCGAAGAACAAGAATTTTGAGAAAATTACGAAACGGTTCTTAACAGTGTCTACTACTGGTGCTTTGGTCTAAATTATTCTTCTAAATGTAATTACCACTTAACATTTTGCTTTGGTGCTTTAGGAACAATTTATAATTTTCGAGTTGATAGCTATGTCTATTTGATCGATCCCTTAATTACTCGCGCTTTTAGTTAACTCGAAAACTATAAAACGCGCTCTCAGGAGGAACTAACAGCTTTTCATCATGCCCTGTATTAATCACCCACTCCTGAGTAAATGACATTTACGGGTCGAAGGAAGAAATTCCTTCCATGAATAAACTGCAATACAGCAATGGCTTTTTCAACTAAAACAATACGTCCTCAGACAAAGCATTTCGATGGGTCACGTTTTCCACTATACAAGAATAATTATGAGAAATATTTATATGACCTCTAATTGTAGTACCTTTTAGTACACCTCAATATAAGTATTTTTTATGGAGAATGGTCAAGATTTGATGATACTAGGCAGTTATGCAGGCAGGCTATGATACTAAGGCAGTTGTTTGCCACATAGGAATTCTGCACTGTAGATTTTCAGCAATACCGATATCTTGCTAAACTATAATTGCAAAATTTGTAGGTTTAAATTTACAGACCTTTGTTGTTGACCAATCTGAATGGATCATCAAAGTCCTAAAAAACTTGCATTCATTGCATTTTCAATCCATACATCATGAGCACTCAAGGTATGAAATTAAACCCCAAACAAAATATATGACTTCATTGTTTTTTTTATAAAAATGTCGTTTATTTTATTAGTTTGGCTCATAATGCCTATTTTTCTGTTTACATAAATTACACTACATTCCGTACACTATACAGGTATACTATTATACAGAACATATTATCAAGATATTGATTTTCAAATACGCTGTGAATTGAACTCTTCACGCACACTACAGAGTCTCTGACCTAAAAATAGAGGAGATTATTTTCTATAAAAAATTAAAACCCTGTAAATATTTTAAAACATAAAAAATGTGAATACATTTAAGATTTATCTAATATTTTGGAAGGTGATTAATAATTTATATATGTTAGAGTATTTGTGCAGCAATTTTTTACGAATAGTAATATATAAAAAAAACTTTATACAGTATATTAAAGCATTTTCTTAAGAAGAAAATATGAGTTACAATGATGTATACTTTCAGAGAATAGTCCATGCTTTATTTCTGCTTGGTTTTTAGAATTCTTTGTTACTCACACCTCTAAAGTAATTAATTACTGTTTGTGGTCCGTATAACTGAAGTTTTTAGGCGAAGGCCGACCGTCCTAGACCTTGTAGGAACCTTAATATCAGCCCTAGCGAAACAAAGGTCACATGGCGCTACAAAAACATACACTCTCGTATTATTAGTGGTGGTTTTACAAATAATAGATTGCAAAAATTTAATCTGTATGAAAAATTTCTAATGCACGGAAATTGAACAGAAATTGAAAGAAAACCGTGCAGCCTCCGGCCATGTGAGAAGGGTCTAGATTTCGGAAGTCACCCAGGAAGATGAGATAAATCCAACAATAATGCAAAAACATGTTTCGAATTTGATTTAAAAATGCAAATATTTCATATTGCTACTCTGCCTATTGTCAGACTGCGTGTTCCAGATGAATATCCATACCCAGTACGTCACTGCCTACGTCAAATCTGTCTCAATGTGACAGTAAAGCTCTAAAAAAAAGGCCGCGCACATTTGAGTATTTGCTATTCATGGTTTTGCGTTACAAAATAACAACTTTTGTACATTCTAGTTATGTTAAGAGCTATTTTACTGAACGTATTCTACACTATGTTATTGCAGTATACGTAAAAACAGTTCTTGTTAAAATATTTAATCTATTGCAATATTACGGGAGTCTTTTGTTTTTTTTTCCAATTGTGTGTTTGAAAAACCATTTTATTTAGTTTTGTTCAGAAGCATTTTTGCTGTTTTGGGAACCAGTATTATGTATACTAATTGAACCCTAGCGAAGTTTTTGCACATTTTAACTCGATTAAGTTTTCCGTCCTTCAAAGTGTTTCTAAGGGAATCATTGGCCCAATACATGTTTCTACGACTGTTCCCAGCCCGCAGGAGTCCCGGCAATGGCGGATTCTCGACACAATCTACATGTATGGACTTGGGTTAAGGGGGTACGTGTGGTTAGCACGTAGACATCCCCACGCCGTAGTCCGGTCTTCTCAACCTGAGAAATGAATTTACTCTTTGTCACACAGCAACATATTGCAAGGAAAACGCACACTGTAGCCTTGGCTCGACGAGAATCGAACCCAGGGCCGCGAAGTAGAAAGCGAGCACGCTGAGCACGAAGCCACAAACTTCATAGCTAAGGAGCATTCTTGCTGTAAGCTTCTCCGATAGTTTTTCTATCGCGAGATCATTCCTACCTCATCCCAGCACATCATCCTTGCACGCACTCGCTCATACTTACATGCTCTACACCTCAACACATATCTCGAGACAAGTTGGGAGCTAAAAGTTGATTCCGATTGGGGCGAAACCTTGCAGGGGAAGGTGTCTAGAGGGGGTAAATCCCCGCTAGTAAATGTGTAGATCACTGGACTGGTGGTAACTCACGTTCCAGCTAGTTAAAGACCACCATCTCCCAGTTTAACACGCACTACACTCAAGGGACTCGTGAACACAGAAATAGACACGTTCGGGAAAACTATACACAAACCCTTCCAGCCCGCCAAAGTATTAGAATTTGAGAACTTAGATTTATGCTAAGAATATGCAAACTATTTCGTCTCTAGGTTGTTTTACCTTTCCAATTACCAAAAGAATCTATAAAAAATACATAATTTTTAATTTTTGAAAATTCAATTTTTTTAATGAAAATGGCGTATGAACTATATAACCAGTGTCCTCATAAAACGTTATTTTTATGTTTACCTGTTGGAGGAAAATTGTCTTGTTTTAACTCAAAATTACTGAAAAATATTCCTATTTTATATAACTTTGTGCAAGGCGTAATTTTTAAAATCTAATTTTGAAAAATAAATTTCAGTAAGAAAAAATAACTAACTTCAATAATAACAATAAGAAATAAACAATAACAAAAACGTTGAAGTACATCGGCAAAAATAAATGTTTCTCAGAGTCTTTCTTTTCATCAGGCCTTTTTGTCTAGGAAGGTAAACCAGCTCTTTTGGGAAACATACTTTGGAGCATTGATATAAATAACTATTATTTTACTGGTAAAACAACTAATACTGACTGTAGCGTATATAGTTTTCTATTTTGTTTATGAAGGTCATTTTAATACTTTACTTTTACGTCAGCGTTCTGTCTCTCACACTGCCATGCGGTCTCGAACTATTTTTCTTTACGAAGGTTAAATTTTAATTACTCAAAGACTGCAAAGATTGATAAAATTTTAAAATATTAGAATTTTAAAATCTTTACATTTTTGGAATGTTCATTGATTTTTTAATGTAAACATCGTTTAATAAAGCTTGTTAAACTTAAACAATCATTGGCCTTTCCAGGAATTTAAAAAGGTCTAAAAATAAACCTATTTCTTAGAATGGCAGCGGCAGTTTTCCTCTTCCTATTAAAGCACAAACTGGACGTTCTTCGCTCAGGGTTTTTCCATGTATTGGTGAGTGGCTATGATCAACAACGTGGAACTGAAGATCCCGGGAGAGTCCCCTCCCATGCGAAGCCGCCCCTTCCACGGTGACAGTCTGCGAGAGGGTCCCTGTCCTCTGGACTGCCTTTAAGTGGCTGGGGTAATAGACGCGTGCGAGGGCTAGGAAGATGACGAGGCCTACAATGCACTGTCAGTCATGAACACTACGTTACGATAACAAGCGAAGTTTTATTTATCTCTTGCAACCGAGAAGGGAATATCGACTCGCAAACTGTTTTTAAAGAAAATCTCTCTTCCCGGACAATGTTTGAGAAAACTGCGGAAAATATTGATTATCGAGATATCCCTTCCAATATAACCCATACGTTAAATAATTGGAGAGAGCATTCCATTCCCTCCCTCTTCCCTCCTGGCCGCCGCTGGTGGCTATGTTGGCGACTGTCATATGGCTGGCGAATGCTTCAGTCGAATTTGCTCGAAATCTATCTCGTAGGCCTCGCTACTGAAACGCACAAAGCAAATGATTGTGGACAGATCCATATACCAAGACGGGGATTAGATGTGGTTTTTAGACTGCACACCTAACTCTCGGTTCTGTGGTTAACGTCCAGTCTACGGATGTGGAATTTGTGGTGATCTCAACGGGTTCGCAGCTTACTTTCTCGATGTTTCTCCCTTCACCCTATCCCAGGCATACCATCACATCATGTTTACTGATCCCTCAAATCCATTCGTTTATTCCAAGTATAGCTTTAAAAAGTCAACGAAAAGTTATCATAAATAAATATGTCCCAACATCTTTCCTTCACGCTGTCCGTAGAGGTTTTCACTTTGTCGGTCGTTGTACAGCTTACTATCTATAGGTGTGCTGGCTGTCTTTGGGCAAAATCTGATTTTCACTCAGTGTTTGCAAGGTGCTACCAGAAACGGTATGATCAGATTGTACTGACTACGTGTAAAAAAATGAAAACAGTCACATTTTCGCTTCAAAAGCGTCCATTTTGGTAGGATTAATATTTCAAACAAGCGAAAATGCACGGAAATGGTCTCGTAAAAGAGGTGCGAGCGGCGTCTAGGCGCGCCCGGGGGAGCCCAGGGGCTGCACGTCCCGGAAGAGCCGGCGGTAGGGCACCGCGTCGAAGAACTTCTGCAGGAGGCCCTCGTACATCTCCGAGAAGAGGTGGTTCGCCACCGGCACCAGGTTCCGGATCAGCGACTTCGAGTACCAGTTCAGAACTCTGTTGGTGGCGTTGGCTGAAACAGTAATCGTTTAGCTTATTGATCTTCAATTAGCTGAATTAATTAATTGACTGATTTGAGAAGAGACTTAATTATATTAATTAGTGAAACGAGTGTATTAAGAAGGGTATAATTGCATGAAAAGTATGTTCAAGAAAACGAGCAAATATAGGAGCGAATTTTCTTATTTACCATTAGTGCAACTATACCCCTTTATCCACGTGTTTCGTTCAATATTTTTTCGTATCCATTAAAGAATAATTTTAATTTTGAGAAATTCAATTATATCTTTACCATTAGAGGAATATATTTGATGGCGTGATATTGGTTATGAACAAGACCTATTTTATTTGACCTTGAAGTGTACATTTATTATAATCTTCGTGTCGTAGAGAATAATTGTCTTTGGTAATTGCAATTGAAAATGGAAAATATTTAACATAAATATTAGTAGAACCTGACAAAGCTATGAAAACATTACTTCGTGCGAAAAGTATGGGCGTGTATGAGAGAACAACACTGTTAAAGTTGGAAAGGCGAAAGACGATCCAGTTTTGCTGGCGTACTTTCCAGAGCAGGTAAATAAACTGATGATTACATATTGTTATATTTGTAATATGCTAAGACCAAATCTTTTACACGTCAGATATTTATTCATGTTAAATATTTTATGTTCTTCCATTAGCCAGCTAGAATACTTATGACCACATGTATGCTGAAGACGTGGCATGTAAAGGAGAATATCAATATTTTAAATTTTAAGCAATTTACTTGATTTTCAAAGAAAAAGGATTTTCAAAGGAAAACAACTGCTCTCTCTGAGCCGTCATGTCCAAATAGGTGAAGTAAACATATCTGTGCAATATAAAGCGACATATGGGTTAGGATGATTGATGCCAAGTATGAGTAGGGTAATAGTTTCTAATTTAACTTTTTGCACTACAAATATTAACATTATTGACTAAGAAGTAATAATAATTAGTCGTTTATAATTTTGTTTTATTGGATCATTGATTATATGTTTTCAATATGCAATACGTGATGTACATTTTTGTTTATGTTTCATGGCCATCTGGAATCTTCTGTATTATAGAAACATAATTAAACGATTTCAATCAATTTTCTGAGTTCTGATTGGTTGTTGTGAACTTTTAATTGCACGACTAAGTTTCAATAGCACGCCTGTCATAAACATAGTGGCAATCAATGATTTTTCATGAAATTAATGAGCATATTTCGTTAAGTAAACGAAAAAATAAGTTAACTTATCAACCATAATAATTTCAAGAGAATTTTTTTAACAACTGACAACATAAATTATACTCTCAGATATAGTCGGACGATGAATTGGACTTTGAAAATTTCAAATGAATAATATCAAAAATCGGTGAAACCTTCATTGCCAACAACAATTTTATTGAAAAATTGAGGAACTAACAAATTTAATAATAAAATTTGCAAATGAAATTATTCCAAAAACACCATAAATCAAGAAGAAAACAAATTACTTGGAAACAATAATGTTTAAGTGGCTCACAGAAAATTAATATGCATTTTAAAAATACAAAAGAAGCCTAGCTCTTGGTAATTGGATCGAGTATAAAAGCACAAGAGCATGCTACACGAATATTAAAAGAAAAGAAAGGATAATATTAAAAATAAATTAGTTGAATAAATAGTATTTACAAACCACGTACTAAAACACCTTCAATTTAAAAATATAATACAACTAAAATAATAATATTAATAATAATAATAATAATAATAATAATAATAAGAAGAAGAAGAAGAAGAAGAAGAAGAAGAAGAAGAAAAAGAAAAAAAGAAGAAGAAGAATACAAATATAAATTCTCCCCTCCCAGCATATTATATCAACAATATTCTCGGTTACATTTGAAATTTTAGTCCAGGACAAGATGGAATCTACAATTATTTTTAAGGGAACTCCTCCCATTCGTCATTGAATTTGTGACACAATTAATCAATAACAGAATGTTTCCTATTAACTGAAAATAATTTTTGACATTCCTATCCTCAAGCTGTAAATACCAAAAATCCAGAAAATTTCAGACTCTTAACATTCATCCTTTGCGAGTTGATGGAGAAAGCAATCTCTTCGGTGGAGAAAGCAATCCCAGTATTCTCTCCCAATTGATCGTCTTGCAACAAGGCTACTGAAATCCACAATTTCGCACAAATAACCTGTGGGAGCCCACTAGTGTGCCACCTAGTGCGTAAGCTATTCTATCAGTAGAATAGACTCCCTTCCCATCAAGAAAGCTACCAGCGTGTGCCCTCCCCTACCCACGATCTGACTCAAAAAGCAAGAGGCCTCACTGTAAACCCACAGCATCTAAGAAGCTCTGTCCAGGAGCACTGCAAGTGGATCGAGCATGGCCAGCCCTGCTCGACACTGTTCTTGGCGATTTGGCTACGATATTTTGATGAGAGAGGCGGCCTCGAGTAACCGCAGACACCAATATTCCGAGCGTGTCCTGGATTAGCATGTAATGGATCGGAGACTCGGGCCTCGAGTTTGAACCCGTGAATGTGGGTACAGCAGCCCGATACGCTAAGCGTTCAACCGGAGGTGGTACTCACAGAGGCTGGGGCTGCCGAACAGCTGGTGCAGCTCGAAGTGCAGGTCGGCCATGTCGATGAACGCGCCCAGCTGGCGAATGCGCAGGTACTCCGCGCCGTCGGCCGCTCGCCGCTCGGGGGCGCCGTCCACGCGCAGCCGCAGGAGCGCGTCCCCTGCGCACGATACGCCACGTCACACCGCACCGCACCACACCACACCACACTACATCTCACCATACCACGCATACCACGTCACACCACACCGTACCACACCACACTACATCACACCGTAGCACACCACATCAGATCACATCACATCACACCAGACCACACTACATCACATCACACCAGACCACACTACATCACATCACACCAGACCACGTCACACCACACCCCATCACATCACACCTACCACTCCACATCACACCGTACTATACTACACCCATATCACACACTACACCCCACCCCACACACACCAGACCACACCCCACACACACCCCATACACACCATACATACCACACATACCACACATACCACACACACCACACACACAACACATACAACACAACACACACACACACACACACCACACATACCACACATACAACACATACCACACCACGCGCCGTCAGCCGCCAGCTGCAGAGAGTTTGCGTGCAAGGGTTACTTTAACTGGCAAAGATGGCTCTCAGTATGAACTGATGTCACTGCAGTGTCTGCGGCCGGAAGTTCCTAGGATTCAATTCACCACGGTGGCAGGGGTTTGATACTAGCTAATCCGCTAGGTCGAGTTCAACCGCTGCCTGGAGGAGAATTCTAGCGGATGGCTGCTCTGATAGGTGGATTCTCCGATCAAAACCCGGTGAATACCAGAGTACCCTTACAAATGGGCCACGGACCACGCGTGATCATTCCTTTCTCTTCCTTGATCGATCCTTACCCGTTACCTACACGCATTCTCACTTACATGTACTATACTACCACACATGTCGGGAGACCAGGCGTGAAAATAGAGCTTGTCCCGGCCGGGGCCAGTGCTCCGCTGGTAGGAGATACCTCTTTGGTGAAACCTCGCTAGCCGACGGGCAGGTCCCCGCTTGATCTCGCCATCCACCGGGGGAAGATCACAGTTACCTCCCGAGCACAGCGAGTCAAAGCGTGTGTTATTAAGGGGAGGGTCTGGGCGTGAAAGACACGATACAGACTTCTACTTAAGATACTATACTTTCTACTGGCAAAGTATCAAACTGGATGTGGAATAGAGTGCAATATAGAGTTATTAAATAAATGGATTGGTATTCGTAAACATTTATAGATTGGCGTACAAAATAGACTTACTGCATCACGTTTAAAATATAATGCCGATCTTGTCGTGAGTAGTATACGTTAATGAAGTTGTGTTGTAGTTCCCAATCCTTCGTAAATATCGCAGCGCCGCTCATTACAAACTATCCCAATCCGCTTCCCAGATTAATAATGCAACTTGATCTGAACTCTTTGTGTTACTCGGGCGGTAAAACGCATGCACTACATTTACAGTACCAGAGACCGTAGTAGTTGACGCGCGCAGAATCACTAATCAACCAAACAGCGAGGTTTACTTTAACAAGACGTCAGCAATTTTTGTGTTTATTTTATAAACTGGGACGTAATGACATTAGAAGATAGAACAATGAAAAGGAAGGAAAGATTGCGCGCGTTCCGTGGCCTCCACGTTAGGGTACTGCTCCGGCATTCGCCTGGTTTTGATCGGAGGAACCATGGAAAGCTACCGAAGAGAGCCGCCGACGGCCAAAATATTCCACCAGACTTCGGCTGACTTCGACCTAGCAATTTAGCTAGTGTCGAAAATCCTGCCTCCGACGGGACTGGAATCCCAGAACGGACCCACTGCAGTGGCATCAGCTGATGCCCTGAGCCACCTCGGCGTGATGAGGGGTGACTCACGCGCGGTCACCGTGAAGGGGCCCTCTCCGCTGAGCGCCAGGAAGCCCAAGACGGAGCCGTTGACGCTGTACAGCCCGCTGATGGAGTAGCGCGGCATCGCCAGCAGCAGCTCCAGCGAGAAGGTCTCCGGCCGCAATCTGCGCACCCACAGCACTCATGAGGCCAGTGGCGGTTCGTGGCATTTGTAATGGTCGCCCGCGTCCCTTTGGACGAACCAGAACCAGGACGCAGCAGCGAGGCACCCCATGCAAATACGGGCACCACTCACGGGAGGTCGCTGAGCTCGGGTTCAGTGGAGCCGTCACGCCTCGTACACCCGGACCAGCCGGCAAGCCTTTGGCCCCGACCGTGTATAAAACGGCGCGCGCAGTGAGCTCAGTTCCAGTCGTCCCATCATAGTGCGAGCTACGAACGAGTGAGCAAGTTTTTGAGAGACTGCGCTGCCGGCTAGTATAACAGACTTCTCTTCTGGTATTTGGATCGTGATCACGGCATTCTTGTTTGACATCTCTTCAGCTTTTGTTAAATCTGGTAAGTTCCCGGTAAATCTCCTGGTTATTTTGTGACTACGAATTTTAACAGATTTCTCTGTATGTCCAGTAATTGTGAGTAAAAAACTGTTTTATGAGATTAACTTGTTTTCGTCACAACAGCGTTGTCGCAATGTTGCACAATAACCAGAAATTTTCGGCCAATGTCCCTTGATACGTTAACATTAAAAAGATAGCACTTTAATATCGTGCGAGTGGTCTAGCTTCGGATGAACTTCCTATCTACAAGCGTTAACAAGCGAAGAGAGCCCCCAGGGATCGTCCGAGGGATGACGTCATCGTGGGAGTTGGATATCAGCTACAACAACCGGCTGTCCTGGCGTACGATACGACCCAAACTTCTTCTTTGCATTATCCCATACTCTTTCTAATGTGTTGCAAGTGATTCCCAACACTGACACGAGGAGCAACACGTCTCAAGCCCGTGATGGATTTCAGCCGCCGAGACACATGGAATTAAAAATACGATTTCACGAAAATATTTATTTTTATGCAACTAAATGTAAGTATTTATTTTAGTTGATATGCGATTTGTTTTTTGTTTTTTTATATATGGTGCCCTTCTTGAATTTCCATTGGACTTAAACCACTCAATATTAAAGAGGAAAATATGTTTATTTCTGAAAATTCGAGTCCTAGAAATGACGTGTGTGCCTGGTTCGTGTGGCCGCCACTGCATGAGACACACGTTTTAGCACAGAGGTTCCCAACACTTTTCTTTCACACACCGCATTTAAAACAATGGTTTCCTTCATCAACCCCCGTAGTTTACTTCTGTAATATACAGCATTCGAAATTATCGTTACAGAAATGATAGCATGTAACTGACAATACGGCAAATACTTTGTACAAGGTTCGGAAAATGGTTAAATTTTTAAAAAGTCTTGGTACTGTTACTATTTTTATACAAATACCTACAAATATAAAAAAGTTTTCACAAACAAAATCATTGATTATAATTGCGCTGAAGTTTTATTTTAATAATGTGAATGATGTAAAATTTCAAAAGAAGGTGAATTTGTAATTTATTATTAGGTCTTTTGTAGCATTATGTAAAAAATAATAATAAAAGTAATATTTTTTTGTAAGCAATGTGATCTTCATCATCATTAAAGTAATCAGTCGTCGATGCATAATTGGACGTGGACCCCACATCAACCACTTTTAAAATGTCAATAACCCCTAACGTAGCAATATCTACCCAGTTGGGAATCTCTGTTTGCATCGTATATAGAGATACTCGGATAGAGAAACTATAGAAAACGTACAAAAGAGAAGTGCAACGTATACACTATTCGCAAAATGGAAAACCCAAAAAATATATTTTCATATTAATTTCGTACCACTGCTTTTAATTCGATGCACAGATCAGATGAGACTCTCGAAACAAAATGACGAAATTAAGAAATGACAATTAAACGTTCACGCTCCCAATTTTAAGGTATAAACATTTTGCGTTATACTATAAAGCCTGATAATAATAAGTAACAACACATTCTGGGCCCACAACCGTTCATTTAACGAAACAATCACAAAATTTGGTGAAGTAGAGAGTTCATATTTCTTTACAGACAAAAACGTGTAGTGTTTTAAATACTACAGATGTCAGGAAAGATCTTTAATAGTGAAAAATGCATAAAGATATTTCACTAAACAGTCGGTATACACTTTAACACTTCTTCTTGGTTTATGAAACAAACGACTCCATTCACGGTAAAACCATTTTCTAAAATGGCAATTTGTCTAATTATAATACACATCGTTTGTATGTGGAAAACAAAAGTCGAATTTACGAGCCTTAAATCCAATACAACTACAAGATATTAGACTGTGAATGTTATAATAGTGCTCGCAACAGGTTATAAACGCGTGTCCTTTTTTATTAGTAATAGCTCATAGTTCGTTAAAGAACACATCAAATTAAGTCGAAAGCATTAGAATCACTATGTGTACATGTCCCAACATTATTATATTTTATTTATATTAACGTAAAATGTATCTAGACTTATTTGTAATGAAATTTCAAATTAAAGAAAGAGATTAATCCCTAATCATGGTTAATATGATAAAAGAGTGGCTTGGTCTCACGTGGCCCATCGGACGCGCGCGCCGCGGAACCCGCGGTGCTGCGTGTGGGAGACGTTGAAGGCGAGGCTGGGCAGCAGCGCGTTGCCCTCGGGCAGCGCCAGCCACGCCACGTGCAGCGGGTCCATGCTCGGCAGCCCCGCCTCCGCCAGCCCTGCGCACAGCGCGGCCCCGGCGCGCCGCTCCAGTCACGCGAAGCAGCAGCGGTGGGTCCTCGACCCCGACCTTCGTTCCGTCCCCAGCCTTAGATGGCCATTCACTTCACCCCGGCCCCTCGGCTCCCAATTGGCGATTCCAAGGTCTCCAATTTTTCAACCCTCAATTCCCCAGCTTTTCAGTTGAGACCCTGATCGTTGACAGCTTCCTGCCTGAGATTGGAAGCAACAGTGATGGGTCTTCGACCCTGACCTTCGTTCCGTCCCAGCCTCAGATGGCCATTCACCTCACCCCGGCCCCTCCAATACCTCGGCTCCCAATTGGCGATTCCAAGGTCTCCAATTTTTCAACCCTCAATTCCCCCAGATTCCCAGTTGAGACCCTGATCGTTGACAGACTTCAGCCTCAGATTGTCAGATTGGAAGCAACAGTGATGAGTCTTCGACCCCGACCTTGATCCTGTCTCCAGCTTCAGATTGTCAGCCGTTCAGTTCACC